AGATTCAGACAAAGTCGGCACTTAGTCTCTCAACTTGAGCAGAAAGTCAAAATTTTGAAGTTCTGAAATTTATTACCATCTAATTGAAGGGTTTGGAGGTGGGTTTGTTTTCATCAGTGTTGTTCATTTTTAAAGAAAGTCACGGCATCTTGAATACAGGATGACTGAAACAAAAGCAGAATTTTACTGTCACAACCCTACACTTGTTCCAGCCTAGTCCCAGCAACTTCAAACTTCTTTCATGGTGTTAGAACTACTTCAAGCAGAACATCAAGCAGTTCTGTCTTTTTTCTTTTCACATGTGGGACACTTCTGCCTTGGTTTCTGCAACTGGTCTCTCCCCCTGCACCACACACAGTAAAATCCTCCATATACTCAAATTCTTGCATGGCCTTAAATGTGCAATTGTTTGAATTTCTCTTGAAGGAGGTGATAACATGTCAGCTTCAAATACAAGTGGAGTTATTGTTAATGTGAATACTCTTCTAATGATAGGTGTTAATTAAGGTATCACTAAAAGCAGCACTCTTCATAAGCACAGCTAACTGCAGGATGTAATATGGGTCCAGGGAACAGAGTATGTGTTTTTCAGTATTGATAAACAAAGCCAGGACTGGGAGCCCAGGATTCAGTCAAGATCTCAACTCATTCCCCTTGCCTAACCTTCATTCTCTGCTCTCTTCACCAGATAGGACTATATGTAAGAGCAGCTTTATGAGGTTGTAGAGATGAGGTATCTAGATGTAGATAATGGAATTTTGCCTTGGTGATGCCAACAAGATACAGCTGCATTCCAATTTATGTGGACTGCACTGGGTCACAAAATGTGTATGCACTGGCATTGCATCAGCATACCTGGAGCTTCAGAGGACCCTTCAAATATCTCAATCTCCAGAGATGGCATTCTATGGGTTATTATGTATTATACTGGGAGAAGCCAGGAGAAGCTTGCACAATGAAATAGAGATTATAAGCCCCAATGTACCATTTGAGACTGGCAATATTGCTATTAATTTCCAAGTAAGAAATAAGCATAACCAGTAGAATGCCACATTAATGAAAAAATACTAAAAACATCCTCTTCCATGCTTAAGCAGGCATGCTATCTGTTGAAGAGGACTTAAGGTTTTGACAGTCCTGGTAGCAACCTGAGTGCCTTTCAAAACCAAACTGAAGCTACTGCCAAAGAAGAGAATCTCAGTAAATGACCTTGTTCTGGGACAAAGCCCCACTTATTCAAATAAAATAACTTCCTTTGAAAATAATTTTGATCAAAGCATAACTGCATTAGTAAATTTTATGTTTACATGGGAAGTGTGCCCTCATATTATACTTGGGAAAACAGTAATCTCTGAAAAAGATGTCCTTTGATGTCCTGTGCATGCACTTAAGGTTATTTGTACGAGAAGGATTGGGGAGGTTTGGCTACTGCCTGTACAAAGTGGTTGTTTATTGTTCTAAGAATCTATTGATTTGTCAATGTCCTACAAATCCAAGTAGGCAGAGTTACTGGAATAGCCAGTACAAACACTTCCAGGACAGTGCTTGTATCTATTTACAACCTGCCTATAACTTTTGTCTATCTGTTTGAATTGTTAGTTCAGTTCCTGCCCAGAGAGAAATCTATATAAGGACACCCCTGTGCCAAGTTTCTTCAACTTCTCTTTGAAGTATTTCTTTGGGACTGTATCACTATGCTTAAATGCAGGGGATTTTGGATAGAAATAGCACCTTCCATTGCAACTTCTTCACCTGACACTGACAGCATTAATTGCGATCAGAGAATCATGAGATTGATCATTGAACTTCATCTACTAGAGAAATTTAAATTACACTGAGGAGGTAGAAGGCTTAAAAGTGTTTCTGTTCGGTATTTGTCATTTATATGTCCATCTTCACAGAAACTGACAGAAAAAAAATTAGGGTTGCCCTTTTATGAATATTGCCTGCAGAGAGAACATGTAACAGTGAAACTCTTATCAGTGCCTGGTTTTAACAAAAAAAACTCAGCTGTACAAAAGGCAAAACCAGGCTGTGCACAGGGTGGAAATGAAATGAAAAGCAAAAAAACCCTGTCATGTATGTACCAACTACTACTTGTGTTCTGCAGAACATTTCTTTGCAGTCTAGATTTAACTCATACTTCAGGAAGAGCTACTTCAGGAAGAGATTACATATTTTGTATGCACTCTCAACTGAGAAGAAAAGTGAAAGATTAAGTTAGTATTAAAAATGCAGATCAAGATATCATGACAGCATTTCAAGGAATTTTCAAGTACCTAATTTAGGTTTTTTTCTTCAGCCCAAAATATCATAATTGAAGAGTTTAGGTGAATAAACAGAGATTAAACACCCCCTTCCCCCTATTTTTAAGCACATATATTTAAATACATCATAATACTATTAAAGTTTGACAACAGCAGCTCTGGAGGAGGAAGAAGGAAAGTTTCTTTGGGAGCAGGGTTAAGGAATAAAATGAATAAAATATTAACAAAGATAGAAATGTTCATTGCCTTTTTGATGTTTATTTCATGTCTGAATCTGTCACCCTTTCTGCTTTGCCTTTTCCTAAAATAAGAGTCACAGGACAGCCTGCAGTACTCACCTGCAGCAAGTCTCTACAAGATTCAGGCTTTTTATTTAATTCACAAATTATCAACTTACAATCCTTGCCATTTTTCATAGTAAAGTAACTGTCCATAAAGTCTACAACAAATTCAACACCATTGGTTGTTAATAATCTTAGCATATATTGATCCATAAATTATTTACTAGTAATGGAAAAGATCTTGTCCAGTGGAATTCGGAAGAATGCTTCTCTTACTAACTTTACTTTTTTTTAGTTGACTCCTTTAAAAAGATACAGCATCGACCACTATCACTATGCTGCTGTCTATTGTTGTATTTTTAAAATGAGGGATTTTTTCCCCACTCCACTGAAAAAGTACTAGTACTCACTAATATTAAAGGTGACTGTGACTAAATACAGAGGGTAGAAAGTCATCAGTGAACTGAAAAAGAATTTAAGAAAGTTAAAGGGACAATTCTGTACATTCAAAGATGAGTACACTGCAAAGAATACACATTCCAAGTAATAATAAGCTTTACAGCTGACCCACTAGGATTTGCTTCTCTAATTTCACAAGGTATTGCTAATAAGAAAATATTTTCCACTACTCTGTACTTCATCTAGGTCAAACATGGATTATTTTAGCACTGACAAGGAAAATAGTTTTCTGATATTCCAAGCACTGATGTGCAAAACCACCAGTCCTTGACTGAAGTCACACCAAGCTTTTTATACAGTATATATCTTCATTTCATCATTATGGATTCATAGCTGAATTTTACTTGGAAGCTGAGTTACTCAATTGGTTCAATTATCCAAAGGGCCTAAGTCAATCTCTGTTATAAATACTAAGTTCTTTCATATATGTGCATATAGACAAATGATGAATCAAGATATCTTGGCTGAAATAAGGCCTGATACATGATAATAGGGTACAAATTATTCCACATTCAGGTAACTAATCTCAAAACTTTTGGAAAAATTTTGATTTTTTTTTTCTCGTCTTATATTTCAAATATATATGCTAATAGGTGGTTTTAGAGCAGCAGGCAAAGCTCACATCTCACTTGCACAAAAAACTTACTAGGGAGCTTAAAATACTTGAGGAAAGATCATGAATACTACTTATATGGTGAGATGGCACAAATTAGAAATTGCCCATGGTATACCCAGATTTAATTTGGAAAACAGCTAAAAGGTACTCAGAACTCACAGCTCTGCTGAACACTTTCTAGAGTTATTATTTTCGATTTAAAAATCAGTTTCTCCGGTGTGCTTGCTTCTTACCTACTGCGAAGCACGTGTGACTTTTTGCATTCCCACTCTTCAGAGAATTTTTTCTCCCTCCATTACAAGAAATTACACAGGTTTGTTATTATTCACATACATTAAAGTTCAGACCCTCTTTGCTAAGTTTTCCCATGGTAAGGCAAACGTACCTCAGCAAATAATAGAGACAGTCATGGTGGGGTCAGTAAGCCAATAACTGCAGATGGGACATTGCAATCAACAAAACAAGGCTGAAGTGGTAACCCTTCAAGCACGGACATGCAAAGAACTGTCTGCAAAACCACCACACTCTGAGGAATCAGTACTCTCGGGTGCCTCACTGGAATGCCTCTACACTAGTGCACATAGCCCAGGGGATGGACAGGAAGTCAGAATTCTGCGTGCAGTTGGAGGACTGTGACCCCCTTGGAGTCACAAAGAATTGCTGGGATGCTACATACAACTGGAGTGCTGCAGTTGATGGATGCAAGCTCTCTTGCTCCAAACTGAGTCAACCAGACTCCAAGTGTTAGCAATGTAAGTGCTTGTAATGGAAACAATAACAACTCTGTTAAATTCTTTAAATTCTAATCAGCAAACACTTGGTTTGCATGGGAAGTGGGTTTTTTTGGCTCTTTAATTGCATGAATATCTGGGCTGGGGCCCCATCCATGAAGAGATAGCAATTCAAGCTGTGCTTTAGATACAACATGAGCATTCATCAGAGAGACCTGGTATAATTTTTGATGTTTGCTGCTACATATTTTGGCAAAAGAAAAGATGGAAAATGGTTTCTTCTTAACCTGATCTGATGTTAACTGGGGAACTGACATCATAGAACCATGGAATGTCGTATGTTGAAAAGGACATTAAAGATCTAGTTCCAGTCCTGTGGAATTGGAACTTAGTTTATAGGGCAAAATCCAAGGAAAACTGAGCAGAACTATAAATAAATAAAAATAAATCCCATAAAAGTAAAATAAAGTAGAAGAATAATTCTTCAGTACTGACAAACAAATGTGTTCTGTTTAAAAGTCATGACACTTTCTGCTTATTCTTGTTAAGGCAGATAAGGAAATACATGAGACATATTTCATAAACAGTAATTTATTAAAGCAAACAATTTAATTTTCTTAATAAAATGTGCTAATCACCTGAAAAAAGTCATCAATAAATAGGTTTTTTGCATTTATTTTTAGTGTGTTTACTTTGCAAAGTAATTGTTTGCATAGATTTCATAGGTTTCTATTATTATTGTCTAAACGGCCTATTCTGCTGAAGTTCTTCAGTATTATTTGGAATGTTGTGGTTCATATTAAATATCACGGATAGAACAATACAACAATAATTGTACTTTATGACACTGGAATAACTGGTTTTCAAGTCAAACCTAGAATTTGTTTACAAGAAAAGGTAAATAAATAAGTCTTACCCTTCTCATTCTCAACAAAGCAGGAGTCTTTTCAGAGCTCTACCAACTTTTCCACAATGCCTTTTCTGGCTTTTATTTGTCAACATTTTAGCTAGAAAAATTCTGAAAGATATCTGCACCCTCAAGCCAGTTCCGGAAACACGATAGCCCTTTGTCTCTGATCTGTTTTCTTCCCTTGTCAGTAATGACTTCTCCAGTTTGTTTCACAATCACCAGTTTAGGAATTGCTGTTATGTTGTATTTCTTCTTCAGATCACTGTGGGAAAAAATTAAAAATAAACACACCATTAGGAGCATTTTAAGAAAACTCCTAGTGTCTTTACAAAGGCTACTCTGGCCAGGACTTGGGAGAGCAGACGTGATGAGTGCCTGGGCTTCCTCAGAGTTTGAGACAGATCACTGGGTAGTGTAAGGAGATGAGCAAGGCCATAGCTGGAAGCCTACACAGTGAAATGTAGCTCTAAGGGTTAAGAGAGCTGCAGTACCCTTCCTGTATATACTTATCACTGCTGCCTGCAGCTTCCAAAGGAGCAGAGGCTCTTGGAGATGTAAAAGATGTCCTTAGAAGCAAAGTTTGATATACTCTTCCACCTTTTTTTTACTAGCCCAAACCAGATGTAATTTGGTGTCCTTTTTACAGGACAGGAGAAGGATCTCACTTAGATCAGCATTTGATATTCATTCCCCTACAAATACACCCAACTGTCCCATAGTGCTACTTCCTGCAATCACTATTAAAGAAAGCATGATGCATAAGCTTTTTGTGTAAATGGAAGAGACTGAAGATATTCCTTAAACTCCCCCAATGAAACACGCCTTCTACATAGAGAATCATAGAGCAATCAAAATATCTGGAATAAGAGTCACCCATCTGTGTTGCCAAAGAAAAAAAATTCAACTCCTCTGCACCTTTAGAAGAATCAGAGGACAGACACAAAACAGGAAATAACAGAATAGCCAAATTCCAAAACACTAACAACATCTCCCTCAAAATATACTTAAAATAATAAATGGACATACACTGCTTGAGCACTATCACCACAAGCAAGAACATTGGCTGTACGAGGTTCAAAGAAATTTGAGTAGGAAAGAAATGTAGACAATGCTAAAAAATGCTTGACACTAATACATAGACATTCTCAATTATTTTCTGGGAGGAAAAAAAAAATACTGAAATATAAAACTTAAGTGAAATACTGATCCAGATAAGGCATACCTGAAATGTGCCTTCTCTTCTGCATTTTTCCTTAAGAGAAGAAAAATCAACAGGTGAAGCATACTGCTCTGCTGTTATGTTGGCTGAGCAATAATGCAGGAAATAGTACAGAAGCAGCAATAATGGGTATGGATCAGGTTTGCTTTCTCAGTGAACTGTGACACACAAGCAATCAACCAACAATCCTCATAGAACTTTCCAAAATCTGCTAAAACAGGTAAAAAAAAAAAAAAAAAAAAACCAAAAAAAACCAAAACACTTTCCAAGGCAAGTATGCATAGAAGCCCTGTAAAATTACTATCACCTCATATCACCTGAATGACAGGCAAGAGGGGTGGAAGACACTTTTTATTGGTTCAGTGAACAATAAACACAATTGTAGCAATCACAGACAGAACACTAGGAGACTGAAGGTATGGAATTTGGTACAGAGACTGGAATCTTACACTTTACTTTCCTAAGGGAATGCATATATCCAGCCCAGCATGGCACCTTGTTCAGACAGCCTTAGGGCAGAAGGTTGCCTGCATCAAACCAGAATGAAGCATGCACAGATTTTGCTTACATTTGTGTGCAGCTTTCAAGATTGGTGGACCTGAAGAAGGCTCAGAAAGAGGTCTGCAGACAGTGCTTCTTAATCACTGTGCACATATGTACATGTGCTTACAAAAATTACTTCTTAGAACTTATTAAGATCATTCTTCCTGATAGGGACCTAAAATCCCATGACTCACCTGCACAAACTACATATGTGCCATGGGACTAACTCCAATGGCAACTCATGGTACCATTAAACCATAAATAGAAATAAAACCCCATGACATTAAGACTGAGGCAAACTGGAAATCATAGCCATTGTTAGATCTTTTTATTCTTATGAGAAAGTTGGATGAAAGTTTTTGAGAGCACAGATTTTGTATTTCTAGACAATACAGACATTAGCTGGGAGCTAATTTTCTTCACAGCAGCTGCCATGGTGCGTACCAAAACAGCACTGATAACACACGTGTTTTAGCTATTGCTGAACAGTTCTCATGCAGCAACAGGGCCTTTTCTGCTTCTTGTGCTACCATGCCAGTGAGTGCACAGGAGTCTGTGAGGATGCACAGCTGGGACAGCTGATCTCACACCACCAAAGGATGTTTCATATCATGTAACACTATGATTAGCTGTAAAAACTGAACAGAGGAGGGGGAAGGGACCAACATTAAGAGCCAGGAGATTTATCTTCCCATGCAATCATTACAGGATGAGGCTACCCTGTGCTGGAAGCTGTTAAATATCTGTCAGTGAATGGGAATTTAGTGAATGAATTTCGTATCTTGCTTTGCCTGTGTATTTTTACTTTTGCTTTATCTATTAAACTGTCTTTATTTCAGCCCCTAAATTCTCATTTTCACTCTCCACGTTCTCTCCCCATCTACCCAGGCTGAGTCACAACACAAGTACTTTTATATAAGAGTTTAAGATCTACGTGCAAGACCATTCTTGAGATGAAGACAACACAGGACTGATATAATATAATCTTGGGAACATAAATGATAAATTTTATACACATGTGTAATGTGATATCTGACAACACTTGAATTATGACAGCTTTCACTTGGAAGTGCTGTCATGTGAAAGTGATGAGCTTCTTGCTCATCTGCTTCTAGCAGTATGCCCTGCAATGCACAGCTGTAAGTATTTTCTTTTAGCTGTGAAATTTCTGTATTGTTAAATCTTAGTCATAAGCATGCATGTCACATGCTTGGGATTCAGTTTTAAGGTGTCTGCTGAGATTTTGCAAAAGCAGTCTAAAAAGTCTAAGAACTAAGCAATTTCTCTTAACTGCTCAGATACTTAACATTATTCTACCTTTTTTTTTAATACCCCATCCTCCCCAATCCACCCTCATACGTAAAGCTTCCTAATATAAAATGTACGTACAACCTTTTCATTTTCTTTTTATGGTTGTTTTCTATTTTTCTAATTTTTACTGAGCTGTACAGGCCAACTCAGTAAATACCTGCCTACCTGGAAGCCTGCAGGAGCTACTGTACACACCAGGCACCCTCACAAAAACTGGTGCCTTTCACCACAGGGTTCAGTACAAATACAGCAGCAGTATGTTTTTTGTGTGCCATTATCAAAACATCAGTCCGATTTAACACCCTTTGTTGTTGATGCTCTGTCCAACACCTGCTTTTCCTCTCTACTACTCTCTCTTCCAAGTGCTCACTTCCTGCCATACTGTCTTCACTTCAAGAATCAAAATACTATGCCTTAGGCAATAAAAAAAATTACATTAACCTGCAGACAGTAAAATGATCAGGAGCAGTATTTCCATGCCACAGACCACATGAAGTAGTAAAGGTGCTGTACCACCTCTGGGAATAGTCAGGACTGACAGCATGGAAGAGTCTGGAGATCCTGCTTTGAATTCAGTACTTTGCTTCTCTGAAGGTAGGTTTGACATTGCAGTGTTTGGCTCTACACACTACAAATATGAATGCTGGCTATCTCTTAAGACAAAATTAATCACCAATGCTTCTGTTGTTGAAAAGTATTTTGGATGGCAGGCTTAAAATTGGCCCTGTTGTGTCTGGAAGAGACATCAGTCTATGCTGCAATTATATATCTTAAACGCTGAAGCAACCAGCTAGGATATTTTAACCTCACTGAAGATATCAAATGCCTTCTTTACACAGTCAAAAAAAAAAAAAAAGCCAATTCAATTAATTGCAATGAAACTTTAAAAATATTTATTAAATTTTAAATGTTAATAATAAAATTATCTTACCCATTTTTTAAATTATATTCTTAATTAGAACTAGTATCTAGCCAGAATTATAATTTGGATTAGTGACTATACACATCTCCTCTAAGTCTACAATGATTCACCAGTGCCCCTGACACCAAAGTACCAGTTAATCCAACCTAAACACCTTGAACAGCTCCACAGAGTCCTTCATTGTTACACGCAAGAAACACAACTTCAAAAGCATTGCTTGTTCATATTTCCCTCTACTCTATTCTTCAGTAAGGCACTGTGATCTCACAGTCATCTGGCAGGACAAACCATGCTTCTATACAGAACTGTGAAGGACATTATAGGATGACACAGAAAAGCCAATTAAACTATCTCTTTGCCTCCACTCTGCATTCTTGAGCAAGAGCAGTCAGATATAGACCTCTAATCCACAGAGGATGAAGCTGTAAGCACATTCCCGTGGGCCACGCTGAACAGCTTACTGAGTGCGGGGACTTGAAGTGCTACATTTCCTGATGGAAACTTGCCTGAATTCTATCGTGATTAGTAAATACCAAATACAATTACTGCCTGGGAAGATTGTAGAGAACTATGCAAAACAATAGTTAAGCCAGTGGAAAAAAGGTCTAACATAAATTGGTAGTGGGCATCCAGAAATGAGCCAGGAAAGGATGAAATTGTTCCTGGCTTCAATTAATTTGCTCTTGAGTTTGTCAAACTGCACTGAAAAAACAAGATTAGCCAACATGCTCCCTGTTGAGTGAGTAGCTGGGGTGTTACACACCAGATAGCACACTGGGATAGATCTTGAATTAAAAGGAAAGATAGAAGTTACTAGAAGTACTAGAAAAGGTTTCTTTCTTAGAAGAACTAATTTGGCTGCAAGTTTTATTGCCCAATCTACATTTAAAAGTCATATTACCTTCTCGACTTTGGTACCACCTGGAAAAAAATTTTCCACCATCAACCCATTTAAAGAGGGAAAAAAATCCCTTTATCAATATTTACATTCATTTCAAGTCTCCAGTTACATTTCAAGTGACTGGAAGCATACGTTTCAACATACGTTTCAAGTCTACAGGCATTTCAGTAACCCTTGTCCTCTTGTAATCCCAGTCTATACTTATAGGAGCTAAATCAGATTTCTGAAAGTCATCCAAATGAGACTCCATCCTTGACTTAGGTCATCAAAACACTTCTTGGTATCATCCTTCACCCCATTACTTACACACAGTCATGCCCTTTCCTTTCGCAGTTTTCATGAGCAAGCTGCCTACAGGAATGTCATTTTGGAAACCGAACAGCACAGGAATTTTACACCCCTGTTACCAGACGCAGTATGCCACCGCTAAACTCCAGCTGATACTGTATCTGTGTGAAATTCTTCACAGCTCCCTCAGTTTCAAGTAGTTCAGTTACAAGTTTTGCTGCGTCTTCATTTGCCTTTTTCCCAGCGCACTAAACTGGACAGTGCAGACCAGCCTTAGTTACAATTACCACCGTGCTGGACAGCAGTCACACGATCCTCACCGGCCCTTCGTTTTTACCTCACTCATCTCTTTAACACATGGGGTCTTTACTAGCTCTTGCTCAAAGATCGTTCAGTTTCCAAAAGAGGCGCACAAAACCGCGTTCTTTAGGTACGGGACGGGCTAAGACAGCGAGCAAGCAGTGTGACAGCCAGCGGCAGCCGCGGCTCGGGAGACGCCGCGACCTGGGCTCAGGGACTCCAGCGGGAAGGCAGGCGCGGGCTGGCGGGGCAGAGGCGGAGGCGCCGGGGAGCTGCTGGACTACGGCTGCTCGAGTACTCACTGCTTGTAGGGGTCGTGGAAGGGCAGGGCCAGCCAGTCCCCGTGCATGGCGCGCATGTAGCCCACCATCTCCTCGGCGCTGTGGTCGGAGGAGATGAAGACCACCTCGAAGGGGGCGGGGGGCTCGGTCTCCTCCAGCAGCTCCGTGTAGAAGTCACAGAGGACGGGGGTGAAGTCGCGGCACGGCGAGCACCAGCCGGCGGAGAAGTACAAGCCCACGACCTTGTTCTGCAGGGCCTCCTCGGGGTCCACGCTGCGGCCATCCTTGCTGACCAGGAGCCGCCCGCTGAACACATCCACCATGCTGGCACCGCCGGACCTCCTTCCCCAGCGCCACAGCGCCCCGACACGCCGCGACACCGCCGCCTGCCATGGCACCGCCGCCGCTTTATAGCGCCCGGCGCCGCCCGGCCCGCCCCCGCAGCCGGCACAGCGGCCCCGGCCCGGCGGCTGCCGGAGGAGCCGCGGACGGCCCAAGCCTCGCTGAAGATGCCGAACTTGCAATAAATTTAAGCAGCAAAGCGTGCGCTGGGCCCCTTCAGCTCGCCATGGAGCTCACCGCCTCTCTCCTGGAGGTCTCATCGCCAGGCTTCGTCAGTTTTGGGAGCAAACTTTTATTACCAGACGTCCGGCACTGTTTTTTTTTTTTTTTTTTTTTTTTTTTTTAAATTCGTAGCATGGAGAATTATCTGAATTCTGGATATAAAAGGGACTGTCTATTCTCTGTCCCAGTACATAAGAGGAATTCTCATTTTATTCCAGGGCACTTATCATGTGTTTGCATTGAATAATGTTTTGGGTTTTTTTCCCTCCAGCTGGCATTGAGTTAGAAATTAATAAAAATTGTATTACAAATATGAAATCTTTTTTTCTGCCTAAAGCAACCTGCAAAAACGGAAATGAAAGAAGATTTGGTGGTAGGGCTATTAAACTACAGTTTAATTAAAGGATCACAATAGGGTGATAATCAAATCTGGCACATTTTCTCCTTTCCATGAACTGTGCAAAACCCAATTAAAGAGAATTTATCTTAAAAAAAACAAATTATCAGTATCCCTCAAAATAAATTTTAATGTTTATAATGGATACTTCAAGTGTTTAATGAAGCTATCTTAAAAATATTTCACATTAAAACAGTGTGTACAAAGGCATTCTAGGATTTACTCTTCAGTTTTCCCCCTGTTGTAATCTGCAGCCTCTCAAAAATCTGTCAATTTTTACTCAGAGAAAAGATAAAATTGTGAGAAGTATGTATTATGATTCAAGTACTCAACAGTGGAATGGAATGGATGCTAATTATGATGAGTATTCGCTTGGGTAGATTGCAACCAAGTTTACAGTGAAATTAAAGTCCAATTTCTACATCTGATCATCTGCTGATCCTATAGTATGAACAGTGATACTTCCAGTCAGAATTCCAGTTTAAATTTGTCTAGGAATAAACTGAGCACAAGTATTCTCCCCCATGTTTATTTCCTTTTGAGGTCTTTTTGAAAAATGCTTTTCTTCCATTGACTTAACAAAAAATTTTTGTTTGTGTTCTCTCTTGAGTGAAAAAAAACAGAGTATCATATAAAATAGCTGAACGTGCAAGAGAAAACCCAAAGATGAACCTCAGAAGTAACAGAGCAGTCTTGGGGGTTTTTTAGTAGGCTCATCAAAACTGGTTGTAGGGTCACTTTGAATTGGGAGCTGTATTCCTGCCATTTCGCTTATCCCTTTTGCCTTTTATTATGAATACGTACTGTTTGTTTCTTGTTCAAAAGTTCACATACTTAAAAGAAAATGGTTAATTCATCATTATTTTCTAAGAGATTCTTTTGAATTAACCTTTACAAAACAGGCCTTCTTATTTATTTCCAAGTATATCTGGACTGATATGTTACTTCAATTCTGATATTCTACTGGAAAACAAAAAAAAAATTGCTTAGGTGTTTAAAAAGTAGCATTTATTCGAATACTGTATTTCTCCATTTTTCATTAAGAGTTAAACTATGCTTTTTTCAAACCCAGATACTCATTTGCTTCCAGTACAGAAGTGACATTCAAAACAAAGTAGTCCTCCCATCTGTCACATCACCTATCAATCCTTTCTCCGACTTTTGAGTGCTGTCTTCTGCAGTTCCCCACTTCAGAATTCCTCTGGATGTCAAAAGTAGAAGACAAAAGGAGCTGTGAAGGTTGCCTGCTCTTAAAATAGGCTCGCCTTGGTTTTTGCTTTGCCATATTGCCATATTGTCTCCCTTTGTGAGACCATTGTGAAACAGGATGGAGTTGAAGCATTTGGAGCCTGTAGAATCACCAAAAAATGGAAAAAAGTTTCCAGACAAGTTCAGGCTACCATAGGTACATTCTTGATATTCCTAACAATTTCTCCTTCCATTGGTGGTGAAAATGTATTTTCTCAGGTTTTATGAAGAGCTACTAGGCATGAGGAACTAGACACCTTCCCTCGGGAAGCTTAAGGTAATCAACTCTCTAAACACATCAAAGATTCACTGAAAATGCTGCATAACACAGAAAATCTTGTCTTGCACCTGCCTTTGAATTGACTACAGAGACATTTCTCCATGACACTAACATGGATCAATAAGAAATGCCTCACTTTATGATTCATACCAAAGAGACTAAGACCTTTCAATTGAAATGTCTTCTAGGACTGTTCTTGCTAGTGGTGTTAACACTGTGTTATTCCCCCCGCTGGTCTCCACTTGGACTGAAAATAATAGAGCTTCTTTACACAGAACCTGTGGTCCTGTCTCAAGGTAATGTGTTAGCAGTGATGCAACACTATCAGAAAATCTGCACACAATACTCATCCACTGGAAGCCTCTGGGGAATTCCAGGATAAAATTAAACAGAAATTTCCTACCACAAAAAATTGCGCTTATGATTTTGCTAGAAATGAACTTTTTATTATTGAATTTACTATATTATTTTTAAGGCAATAATATTTAGTCCTGTCTTTAATCTAAGCCCAAGACTTTTCATTTATTTGTGCTCATATTGCAAAGATTATCTTACTTTCCCTGTGAATTTTACTTTAATTAACACTGAAGTCAATTACGTATCTAGATTTTGATACCCAATTGAGAATTGAAAAAGAAAAAAAGAAGAGCCTGAATAATAAACTCTTGCTTTCAATGATACAAGGCAGCATGCTGAGAAAGACCCGCAGAAGAAATGAACTGGAAGTAAAAAATTGTTCAGAATTCCTGACTCCTAAATAATATAAGAAAATACAATATATGCTCAAAGAAAAGTAATTCCATACACCTGTGGTGGCAGAGCTAATGTCTCTATAAGCTATACACAAGATAAAGTGTGAGAAGGTTCTGAAAGCTTGTCTAGGTCTTTAAGGAACACACCCATTGCTCTCTCCTTCATAGCTGGCATGGGTCTGAGTAGTAAAGAATTTGATCCCATAAACATTTGCAATAGTCTCTCAAAACTTGTGTTATATGCATGATGCTGGAATTTTAAATGAAAAGGTGTAGAACACCAAGTTTCAATCTGCCTATAATGCTTAAGCATTCTGTGGGAAATGCATACTGATATAACACGGTTGATGTTGGCAGGCTCCAGTGAGAAGCCATAAGGCAAAAGCTGACTAAATTCACTCAAAGAAGAGTGTGACCTGGTTGAGGGCTTGTGGGGTCTGTGTTCAATTAATCATTAGTGCACCATCTAGTTAATTATACCCTGATGAAAACATGTAAGTGACAAAACTAATGAAGATAAACTCTGGTTGAGCAGTACTGTATGTAGTGCCATCTTTGAAGAAGTCATATTAGCAACCAGCCTTGGTGAATCCCATTATGTGTGAATACTAGCCAGTCAGAAAATCAGACCCCAAAAGAGACCAGAGTACACAGAATAAAGGAAACACATCAGGGGATGGAGGAGTTAAATTTGTAGAAATCATTGATAAAATTTTGTAAAATAGCTGGGTTTTTAAAATTAATTTTCATAATACATAAAAATGTGCTTTACAGGAGAGAGTTATAATCTGAGTTATTGGTGAGAAAGCAGGCAAAGTTACTCACCACAGTGTATACAGTGAAAAAAAGGAATAGTAAGTTTCTTGATCTCAACCCAACACATTAACCAAAGAGCTGGGGAAAGAAGACAGTGCACAAAGAATTACTGAGCCAAAAAAAATAAATTTTACTATACAAAACCTGCCAACTAAAGTAGTTATTGCATATTCATAGCATTCCTTAGAGCTGACACATTTGGAACACCTTTTCCCCAGCTGGGTTCAGGGTCTTCTGACATAGTCAGTAGTGATACAGATACGTAGTGAATGCTCCTTCAGGATTGTTCTTGGAGCTGCTTCCCTACATAATCTCCAAACACAAAAGAAAAAATATCAGCTATTCTCAAGTAGGAAAATTAATCAAATAAGTAGCACACTTTTTTAAAAAAATTATAATTTTATTATTTTTACTTGAACGCTTTGGTGCCGATTGCAGCAGATATCAAAGGGTTACCTGTTAGGGAATCTTACTTTTCTTTCGTAAGAGATACTGCGATGTAGCTTAGCATTCTTACCACAAAGACATCTCCATCATCAAGACTGAATGAGATCTGTAGCAGCTACCACCTAACCAAAACAATTCAGTACAGAAGACACTGTAAGGTATATCCTTTTCTTTTGTTTTCCTTTTTTGAAGCAACAGATTGTTAGCAATAAGAGGCAATAATTATCAGAGAACACTGTGCTGGTGAGGCCTCACTTTGGGTCCTTTGGGCAGTTTTGGATGCCACAATATAAAAAACACATTAAGCTATCAGAGACCATCCAAAGGAGGGTAACAAGGATGGTGAAGGGCCTTGAGGAGAAGCCTTATGATGAGTGGCTGAGGTCACTTGGTCTGCTCAGCCTGGAGAAGACTGAGGGGAGAGCTCACTGCAGGAGTGACCTGAAATTGTATCAGGGGAGGTTTAGGTTGGATATTAAGAAAAGGTTCTTATCCCAGAGGGTGGCTGGGCACTGGAGCAGGCTCCCCAGGGATGTGGTCACAGCATCAGCCTGACAGAGCTCAGGAAGCATTTGGACAATGCTCTCAGGCACAGAACAGGGTGTCCTGTCCAGGGCCTGGAGACAGACTCAATTATCCTTGTGGGTCCCTTACAAATCAGGATATTCTGTGGTTCTACAATAACAATTTTAAGTAAGCATTTGCAACATTAAGTCTGGGTCCCAGTTTAATAAGTATTATTGGTGTAAATAAATAGCACATATGGAAAGGGTGAAAGAATGCTCTTAAATGCCTTAAAAATATTTTAAAATTAGCTGGATTTGAGAGTTTGCAAGGAATATTTTTTGTTTTAATCAGGAAATACTACAGCCTATTAACAGATTCCTACTATGCAAAAAGTCTGTTCTAGGAAGTGCAGCAATTATGGTACATTCTTTCTATTTACAGATTTTGAATTTACCAAGGTGTATTAACTTCTCCTTGCAGTACAAAAAGCCTGATTCAATGATCCTTTGCATGTAACTTTATCCCCAGCAGTGTATCTCAAATTACCAAGTGCTAGATAGTCTT